TATATAGATATAGATATATAGATATATATATAATGTTCAAACCACATTTTGACATGATCATTACATTCAAACTTAGCATAGTAACATCGTTTCTTGCTACATACATACATAGAGGTTTTATACAATGTTCTCGATAAAATAAAACTTTGCTCCACCTTTCAGCTGGGCCTATATTGTGATGGCTAGCTGCATTGTACAATACTGAGACACTGGAGGGGTGGGGCCAAGCTTGACAGCTATAGGAAAAGTCAAGACTTACATATAGTTTCTGCTACCTCTATGTATCATGAAATGCCAAGATTGAATAGTCCAGGCTTCAGACACTTTTATTTAAAATATGACTCCATATAAAACCCCTATATGCTTAGTGCAGACATGGGAAATGATTAGAGCCTTTGTTAGTTTTTTTTTGCTCTACATTACACTTTATTATTAGAACAGTTGAGGAGGGTTTCTCTTGTCTGTCCTGTATTGTTGCTGTCCGTGAACTCACTGGTGATATTTTCTTAGTTCTTGTTGTGTAACAAGGACAGGAAGTGAAGAGAGGGAAAAAGATATCAGTCAAAACCCAAAAGAAACTCTAACTGTTCCTACTCTTTCTGAAAATAGGTTTTTCCAATACTTACTGTATATAGTTACTTTGTGGCATGCTAGCTGTCTGGGTCAACCCTAGGCTGATGCACTGTGATTACATATACTTACCCATTTTACAGTGCCAAAATGTTATAAGAATATATATTTTGTTGAATTCTGTATTAAACATGGTGACATCACACGTGTATGCTGCACACATTTATGCAGCATACACGTAGATACATTTTTGGGTGCTGTATACGGTTAATTCTGAAACTTCTTGTGATCATAGGTTACAGTTGGGGCCTGCTGGGAAGCAATAAAAGCAAGAACAATTGTGTTGTTATCTCTCTGATAAATGTATAGTCACAGAGAGATAAAATTTTACATATGGCATGAGTAGCAATGAACATGCACAGTCTAAACTCATTGAATTGAGTGGAGTGTTTATCATTTTTCTGCGTAGGGTTTGTAGTCTATGTTAGAATATTTGAAAATGCTATAGATGCAAAATCTGTCTGTCTATAGGCAGCCTTAATCAAAGTCTAATTGGTCCTTTCAGATGCTGGGTGTAACTATTTTAGTTGCAAGAGATTTTGATATGTGCTGAAAGTAACTAGGCTTAAAGTGACACTAAATTCAGGAGTTACATCTTAAAAATACTATTAACAAACATGTAACTTATTTGTGTATCACTCAGCTGTAGGTCCTCAAATCATCTCTGAATTGGTGCTGACACTGTCCTTCCTTCTGGGGGGTGGCTACTTTTCTTCCCCATGATGGTCCCCATTGTAAAGTAACCACCGATCCAAGCTCGCTCCTGTGATGGACTACAATCTCATGTTTAGTTTACTAATTTGTATTGAAGTTATAGTCTATCACAGGAGTGAGCTTGGAGCGGTGACTATTTAACAACACACACAGAGACCATGGGGAACAAAAGTAGCCCCCCTCCTGAAGGAAGGACAGTGTCAGCACCAATTAAGAGATGATTTGAACATACATTTTTGTTAATAGATAAGGTACATGAATGCATTTTTAAGATTTATCTCCTGAGTTTAGTGTCACTTTAAATAAAACTAGTAATGCTAGAAATATGTAGGCTGCCATTGTTGACTTCTCTCTGAAAAAGATACTTAGTTGGCTGGGATGCCTATTCTTTAGTTGTTACACGTTCAAGATACATTTTTGTTAATAGAGTACTTGAATGCATTTTTAAGTTTCAGCTCGAGTTTAGTGTCACTTTAATATTTATTGATTTGCCTATACTATAGTAATGGCTGCAAATAATAAACAATGGGTAAAGTAATTTTAGCTTCGGTTCAGTAGCCAGCCAGTGAAAACAAAATTGTCAAGTCATGTTGTGGCAGAATGTGGATGATCTGGCCTCGTTCTCTATGTGCTGGCAGAAGTGCTGTCATGTGGGAAATCTCTGTGAAGACCTTTGTATCTAATAAATGAAAAGAGCCAACACTTGCTTCAATCTCTTTAGTGCTGGCGTGGCGTGTCATACATTATGTTGTAGTCACTACAGCATAAAGCCATTAAGCATGAAGAGGTCCGTTAGGGACAAGGGGAAACGGTCTGTTTTTAGTAACATTAACAAATTGTTTCTGAGCCCTACATTGTGAAGCACTGACATGTACAAAGCAATTTTTTTACGTGTATGTTTCCAGAGATCACACAAATAAACAGAATTGTATTATGCAGGTATACAGCAACTGAAGCTTTACAACATTCATTTAAACATGTCATAGAGCACAGGGCCATCTTTAATATTGATTGAACCCTGGACAAACATTTTCTTTCCCCCCACCTGCCATGCCCCCACCATGCAATTTTGCCCATACATACGTCCATACGGCAGGGGCAGAGCAACGTAATGTGATGCCGAACAGAATGGTGCCGCGTGTGCATCTCTTGCGGGCTCAAGGTACATCTGCTTTGGGCACGACAACAATGACTGGGCCTAGGGCAACTGCCCCTTTTTTCCCTGCATTAAAGACATCCCTGATAGAGCAACTTCAAGCATCATCTAAATTTCATCCATGGATTTCAGACAGTTAGATATATGCAAAATATAAATACATATATAAGAGCTGTTTTACTTGAAAAAGATGTATATCTCTGTCCATAGTTTTTTTAGGATTTATGCAGCCCTGCCAGGCATCCATCCTGGAGACGTGACTTTCTCTACTGCAATACAACTGGGTTTTGTCCCGGGCTCCAGCCTGAAGGAGAAGCAGCAGCAATAAGCTCATCTCTTTATTATCCTGCTTTCTCCTGTTGTCATGTTCTTTGTTAGCACATGAGCACTGCAGCACAAGTAATTGACTCCTTGTGCTGCTTCTCCCTCTCCCAGTCTGAGCTCTGTTGTATAGGGGATGGCAAGAGGCTGATACCTTCCATGTACTGTCAGGGCAAGGAGCCGAAATTGGAGACGCTAAGAACGTTGCCTACAAATACTTTGTAGTGTTCCAAAAAAAGCAGGTTACTGGCAATAGGGCATAATTTGGCAGTGGGCAGATGATAAAATCTGACTGGCTGCAATAGACTGCTGCACTTTTACACATGAAAAGTAAGAAAAAACTGTGCCCCCTCTATCATGATACCAAATAACAGATTCCCCTTGGTACATGACCAGGCAACTATGAAGATCAACACTATCTGGACCTCTGCATATAACATGCTACCTTTATTGAAGCAATACAATTATTATTATTATCATCATTACACAGGATTTATATAGCGGCAACAGTTTGTGCAGCGCTTTACAATATAAGGAAGACATTACAGTCACAATACAATTCATCTTCCATGGTTTTATGAAATTTCTATAAAGAAGACATTGTATGTACATTTTTACAGAGATTGGAGATCATTATGTTACATCATCATTACTTTCCATGCTTGAGAAGAGAGTTCTCTGAGAGGTTTAAAATGTCAGTGAACCTAACACTAACCATGACAGTGTGCGATTTGGGTGGACCGATCCTATCAATAAGCCCCATAAATTTTAACTCAGTTCCTAAGGAATAAGGCATATGGTGCCCGCTTTTAGTGTGATGACAGATGCTGAGAAAAATAACAGTTGAGGCGCACATTTACAGCATAGTGATATTTCAGTTCTGCCTTCTTCAATCAGACAATCTCTTCTAGATCATAATCGCTGTAGCTGCTGAAACTCTAAGTCATCCTCTTAAAAAACACTTATCAGTGGAGAGCATCATTGGCTCTACTAATATGTTACCTACCCCACAGAAGGACGAGGTATCTGAGTGGGATAAAATATAGCACAGCCGTTAGGACACACAAGGCGATAATTGCCAGCCAGGTTAGGAATGGGACCGTCCAGTTGAATGTGCTGCATGGAAAAAATGACATGAGTCACAGACCTAATCCTCTCATATATCTAATGAAAGACATAACAAATAAAGTGTGCAGGGCTAAACGAGACAGGCAGACATATTACTCTTCTTTGCTTACTGCTAGATGTGCACAAGAGGAAATGCCAAGATAAATGATGCCAAATAAATCGTACAGCAACAACATTAGAGACAATGGCTCCTATTAATCACTCTTCAATATCCAATAACTCACTTACTAGAAATAATACAAGAACTGAGAATATTGACCAACGGCTCTTCATCATGAGTGATAACACTTTGTAAAATGTCTTCATGCATCAGGGGAATGGATCTAACCATTTAATCAGACGTACTGTTATAAAATACTGTGACACAGCTCATATAGGGTAGCTAAAGGGGTACTGCTGCAAATGTTATGTACAGCAGGATAACACTCTGTATTGGACATGTGTACAAACAAGGGAACAGATGACAATTCAATTTCGTTTTTTAAACCATGTTTGTCAATGCATCTATGAGCAATTTAGCAACAAACAGAACAGCGTGCAAAAGGGGGTGCTTTATAGCCAGAGGCTGGTGAACACACTTTGATACCAAAAATTAGGGATGCACAGATACCAAGTATGTTACTTGGTACAAGTACATGTACAAAAGTTAGGAGACAACTGTCCTTTTTTAGGAGCATTGGCTACTGGGCTCCTGGGATTAATTCATCCATGTTTTAATGTATGCTATATATACACTGTGTGTATATTTATATATATTTCCTGACACCCACATGGACGCATATAAATTAGCTGGGGGCGAGCCATGCCCCATTCGTATGCTGCCATGTTTTGGCATCAGGAAAGGAACATTACCGATAGCTAAGTACACAATTTTCCATTATATGGCTAAAAATATTGACACCCCTGCATTTCTGTCAGATAATGCACCAAAAATGGACTGGAGAAAATTATTGGCACCCTCAATTAATATTTGGTAGCACAGCCCTTGGAAAAAATAACTGAAATCAATGACTTCCTGTAACCACCAATGAGTTTCTTACACCTCTCTACAGGAATTTTGGACCGCTCTTCTTTCACCAACTGCTCCAGGTCTCTCTGATTGGAAGGGTTCCTTTTCCCAACTGCTGTTTTTTGATCTCCCCACAGGTGCTCTATGGGATTTAGATCTGGACTCATTGCTGGCCAGTCCAGTACTCTCCAGCGCTTTGTCTGAAACCATTTCTGGGTGCTTTTTGCTGTGTGCTTTGGGTCATTGTCCTGCTGTAAGACCCATGACCTCTGACGGAGACCCAACTTTCTGACACTGGGCCCTACATTGCACCCCAGAATTCTTGCGTAGTCTTCAGATTTCATAATGCCAAGCGCACAGTCAAGACATCCAGTGCCTGAAGCATTAAAGCAACCCCAAAACATCAGTGAACCTCCACCATGTTTGACTGTAGGGACTGTTTTTTTTCTTTATAGACCTCATTTCTTTTTCGGAAAACAGTAGAATGATGGACTTTACCAAAAAGCTGTAATTTTGTTCCGTCTGTCCACAACACATTCTCCCAAAAGGATTTTGGCTTCCTCAGGTAAGTTTTGGCAAACTCCAATCGTTTTTTTTTAATGTTTCTGTGTCAGCAGTGGGGTCCTCCTGGGTCTCCTACCATAGCGTCCCTTTTCATTCAGATGGCCGACGTATAGTGCTAGCTGACACAGTTGTACCCTGTACCTGAAGGTCAGCTTGAATTTGTTTGGAAGTTGATTGAGGGACTTTATCCACCATTCGAACAAGCCTTAGTTGCAATCTTTGATCAATGTCCAGGGAGATTAGCTACAGTGCCATGGGCTGTAAACTTCTTGACAATGTTGCGCACAGTGGACACAAAAACATTCACATCTCTGGAGATGGACTTGTAACCTTGAGATTGTCCGTGCTTTTCAACAAAAACTTGGAATGCAATTATTTCTTGCAATTTGGAGAAGGTGCCAATAATTTTGTCCAGTCCATTTTTTGGAGTTTTGCATGAAATGTGTCAGATTTGGCTTTTTTTTTTCTCTCTACTTTTTTGTGTCATACTAATACAAACAAAAGAGATAAACATGAGAATGCCTAAACATTTGTAATTGCAACAATTTTCTGCACAAAGTGGTGCATTATCAGTGGTGAAATACAGAGCTGCCAATATTTTTGGCCATGATTGTATATATATAATTTGCAGGCAGTCCCACTTTAAGTCCCAAATCTGCTGCAGCTATTATGAGAAGATCATCCCTACTTGTTGGATATATAGTCTATTATATGATGTAGAGAATGGCACAGGCGGAGTGTGAATAGCCAAGGTGTTTAGTAACACTGCAATATTTTCAAGTGGGTGGGAGCAGAGGTAAAAGCTATACAAAACTATAAGTGATCTAGCTGCAGGATTCTTTATATCCCTCCAGCAGTTAGCAGTTACAATAAACCTGACAATCTAACAATAGCAGGAAATGCCACAAACCTGGACACTTTAAACACAGCATATAATAAAAAATGCATAAATGTACCCTTTAAAGAAAAATATTGTACATATGAGTAGATCCATAGATATAAGCTGCTCAATCTATAAATAAAATTTGAGCTTACCATGCTCCCTATGCTGTTTTAAATGCTCAGGGTTGTGAAAGGCTTAGTAGTGGTGTAGGATGAGATCCTGCAGGCTACTTAAAGCCAACATTTTAGCTTTGCTTATAGTGTGTCGGATTTGCATTGCTCTCTGTGCCCACAATGCAGAGAGGTCTTCTCATTTCCTGTTCTGTCTTACATCTTTCACATTCACAGAAAGTGAGGGAAAATCTCCACAACAGGATTGCAGACAGCAATAAAAAATTAACACAGGTTCTAACCCTTCCCCACTCCATCCAAAGCTACAGCTGGACTTTATCTCCAGGAAGCCCTGTTTATATAAAACAGCAACACAACATTTATTTGACATTCCACCTTACCAGTTTATTAATATTGCAGGTTTGCCTGGCTCAGATGTTTTGGTCAGGCTCAAAACATGGGCTGGCATGCTTTTTTTACTGAGCTGCATTTTTGCCTTAGTCCACCATTGGTCTCAATAAACTTACTTTCATCCCAGAGACCAACTGCACACAGCGTATTGAAAGGCCGGGACATTGAAAATTGCTCAGGCAGGTAAGGATTGGTAGCAAAGTAAACATAATTTTGAAAGTGTGCAAAAAAAACTCTGTTGCTGCCCTGTCTAATACCCAGCACACCTTATATGTCATGGGAACAAAGAATAACTTACTTTGCAAGTAATTCGACTTCCAAAATTCATCAGCTGCAAGTGTTTAAAGTCCTAACAAGTTATGCTGATATGTCATGGCTCCTTTGTACCACGTGTATTGCACATTGTGAATATGGAGCTGTTATTTCCACTACGCAAATGTCATGGGATTCACCTTAAGGTCAGGGCCTAGAGAAATGTAACTGAACTCCAGCAAGGTCAGGGCCTAGAGAAATGTAGCTGAACTCCAGCAAGGTCAGGGCCTAGAGAAATTTAGCTGAATTCCAGCTTTATGATAAAATCTCTCACAGAGCTTTTGGTGGCGATGAGGCCTTTATAGATAAAGTTCACTAACTGGGACTCAGTAACCCAAAAGAACATATTGTAAGTGTTCTTCGGTATCTGTTTGCTTTTTACATCCTAAGATTTTACAACATGTTTCTCTCTGTCTTTTTACCGCCTGCCTACTTGGATTAAATTAGTCATTTTTAAAGTGATCCAGGGTACAATAACATAGTGAAGCTGTATTGGATATGGTCTTTCTATGACAATTTATACTGACATATAGGTACTCACTTTTTAATCCTCTCACCCATAGAAGCCACTTCTTCAAGCACATTCTGCACACTGACGCAGACCTCCTGAATGGCATATAGTTTATTCATGAATCCTTTCTTCTCACTGTCCTAGAAAAAAGTGCCAAATAGAGAATGTTTATCAAATACACATTTTCTAGCCAGCTAGGATTCAATTAGCAAGGAAGCTTTGGAACATTAAAGTCTGGATCTTCCAGGTATCTAGAGCAAAAAAGCCTTACAAGTTACAGTTAACTGTGGTATCTGCCTGTGGTAGCTGGCAGTGAAGTCAACAGGATTTCTGCACACTAGAGGGCAACAGTATGTGACGACACAGTCTGGTTGTCCTCTGACATCCATTGCAGCATACCTAAGGATTAATGTTTGGCTTAGTCTGTGGAGGAGGTATCCCCCGAAGATACTTCCTCAATGGAAAACATTAGTGATTGTACATGGTCTTCAGATCTTTTTACATTGATAAATGACAAGCAGGATTGTCCATGGCTACCTCATCTGTCATCTAATCTCATGACTATGTATGTCATGTACCTTAAGTTACACTGCCTATGACTATTTTTGTTTTTAACACACACTCCTGTGTGTTGACACTGCTCACTCCTCCTGTCAGCATGTTTCTATGTATACAGGTCACCTCTCTTAGCCAGCTGTGAGTGTTGCTGTAGAGCAGATTGCAAGAGGCTAAAATCAAGTCAAATTCAGGTACTTTCACGAGTTACATTTAGTGATTTTTTTAATAGAAACATAACTGCATCCATTAGCATTATTTAATGTGCTCCAAGAGTTTATTCATATAAAGAGTTTAAAAGTATATTGATATTGACTTTTTGACAGTTTACAATATATGTTATATTGTATCTAGAGGTGCACCGAAATAGAAATTTAAAAACCGAAACAAAACCGAAATAAAAAAAATTGTCAGTCCGAAACCGATACCGAAAATGTTTTTATTTAAATTTTTAAAACTTTTTAAAATATTTTATTTATTTTTTTATAAACTTTTACATTTTTTTATATTTATTTATTCATTTTTTATTAAATATTTCTATTTTTTACTTTACTTTTAGGTGCTTCGGGGAAATATTAGAGGTCTAAACAGATCCCTGATATTTTCCTTTTAAAATAGAAAAAGAGATTGAGGACACAGAGTCCTCAATCTCTTTTTCTGTATCCCCTGTTATCAATGAACAGGAATCCTCTATGAATGTTCCTGTTTATTGATAACATGAGGACATGGTATGTTTACTATAACCACAATCATGAATGAACAGGAGTGGATATAGATCACTCATATTTCATCCATTCATTCATAATTGAGGCTATAGTCCACATACCATATCCTCAATTATCTACAAACACTCAGCAATCACTCATCACTGAGTGTTTGTAGCCTGCTCTCCTCTCTGACACATGCTGTCACAGGAGGCTGAGTGAGTGGTGCGAGAGGAGAGCCCAGCCTCTTGTGACAGCGCTGTCTCCGCCCCCACACCGATCTGCCGCACTGTGATAGGCGACAGAGTGGTGTGGGAGGAGGGAAACCGGCCGCTGACAGCGCTCTCCTCACGCAGCGCTCGGCCAGCTGTCACTTTCTCTCCTCCCCGCTGGGACACAGAGCAGCGCCCATCGGGGAGGAGAGAAACCTGGGATGTGCCGATGTATCAGCAGGAAAATGGCAAGTCTGTATGCTACATTGGCTATTTAGGATTTATAATGCGGGTCGTGGATCCCTGATTCACGGGGGTTGGTTTACTTATGGCAAATAGGCTGTTCACTTTGCAGGGGAAATTTCCCGCAGCATAGTGAATGTGGTGAAAATTCATTTTTCATAGAATACCGAATCAACATGCTGAAAATAATGTTATCGTTTGTTTACTGCTTAACTCCAAATGTTCCAGGTGCAAGTCCTTCTTTCTACATTAACATAAACTATTCCTACCAAATACTATTGGCTATTTAGGATTTATAATTGGATCCCTGAGTCACGGGGGTTGGTTTACTTATGGCAAATTGGCTGTTCAATTTGCAGGGGAAATTTCCTGCAGCTTAGTGAATGTGGTGAAAGTTCATTTTTCGTAGAATACCCAATCAACATGCTGAAAATAATGTTATCGTTTGTTTACTGCTTAACTACAAATGTTCCTGGTGCAATATTCCTATGGAGGGACATGGAACTGAGACTGACCTATTTCTTTTTAAAGAGGGCTAAGATTTTAAAGTGGGCAAGGCCTCCCAGACCGACACATTATGATAAAGCAACTGCCCTCAGTAGAATAGTTATGTGGAATACAGGGGTAAGGCAGAAACTGTGGGTTCCTTTAGAAAAAAACACTAGAAGGCAGGAATCGGGCCAATGCACCATGGCTTCCTAAACCATACGGTGGACTGGTAGACATATCATCCATCCTAACATTTAACACATTAGAGATCTGGGACACCCTGAATAAAGAAGGTAAATGGGGGGGGGGTGCTTCCATCACCCTTTGTGACCTCTGGGAAGTTCCCCATGTTTATTCCAGTGAAATATCTAGCATTCTTCAATAAATGGGGAGAAAGACAAGAGATATAATGCTTCAAATTTTAAGTGCATGAAATAAAGTCACTTTCTTAATTTAGAGAAGGATAGGGAACATCCCCTTCAGATGTCTAAAAACATATACAGCTGTCCAACTTTCTTCATGGTTCAGGGAACAAAATCAGACCTCTGAAAGACTTAATTGCATTTGAATCCATATGTACACTCCAAGACACATTCATCAGATCTTTATCCCCTTAAAGATCTCCTGAAAACTAATCACCGGGCTACCTATACCATGTTTAGGATTGGGAAAGAAAGTTAGGACAAGTCCTGGATGCAGAAAACATGCTATTAATTGCTTTCCAAATTGTATCAAGTACTGGGTAGGCTTTCTACTGTATAATGTACCCCAATGTCTCAACAGATTGTTGGAGGACCTGTGGCCACAAAGGGACATACATGTCCTATAATTAGACCTTTTGTGACAATCGGTGAGACAGATTATCCAAGAAGTCACTCACCAACATGTGCCCTCTAGCTGTGCTATTCAACTATAACCTTAACTCTTTAGGATGCTTAATTTTTGGTTGGTAGAAACTTTTGTCATACTTCCTGAAAACCTGAAAATAAGTATTTTATAACAAAATGTGTTGAACAGTAATGTAAAAAAAAGGATGATGACTGAAATATTTTCTGTTTTCTTATGTTCAGTCCCGTGTTATGAAAAGAGGTGGAGTAAAACTGACAGGAGCAATCAACTAATATAAACAGAATGAAACAAAACCTTTTTATCACAACTGGATACACAAATATCAAGGGATTTATGTATCAAATGTAAAGGAAAAGAACTATGGGGCAATTGGGAACACCAGCTGTACAATAAAAAAACAAGGTTAAGGTGGATATTTTGTATTTTTTTTCATAATGCCCATTTAAATATTTTCTGTACTTCATAATAAGGATCTGAATATTGGTCTATCAGATTCTGGGCCCCCCAACTATAAGTTTGACATTGCTTGCTCAAAATGTATTTTTCAATAGATCTAACAATAAAATAATCAGAGGGGCTGAGAAATATAATTAAGGGACCAAACCAAATGCCCAGAATCCTAAAGAATCTATTGTCTAGCCATGACAGAACACTAATTTTTTTCTAATAAATGTTTATTAGGTTTCACATTACTTGCTCAGTTAATATATATAACTGAGCAATCAACATAAGAGGTCTTACTGAAAAGGTGTGTGCATAAATCACAAAAACAACAACTTGTTTCCAATACAAAAATACAAGGAATATTCACAGGTTTACAAGATGCAACAGTACCAAACCACATAGTTAGGATAAGGTGACCGATCCTAAATCCCAGGATATCTGGACACCAGAAGACAGCTCAAAAATGGGGGACCCACATTAACCTGACATTTAGAAACTGTGGTAAAGGGAAGCAGGGGGAAAGATGGGAAGACAAATGAAAGTTGGGGAAGGAAGGAAGCATTATGGCCTTCCTGGGCACTTGGATAGCATTCTGAATGGTGTAGGGTGTCCTTTTGAAAATTGGGGGGAGAAAGCAATCTATCCAAGGGGTACATATGGCATAGCACTTGCCCATCTTGATGAGCTGTGATCTTCTCAAAGACCATGGTATGTGACATATTATAAACCTTTTGCCCTTTTTAAAAGGAAGCAATCTCAACATAACAACCAAAAAATGAGTAATAATTCTAGGCCCATTAATCACTGTTAGCACTAAACTGATGAGCGGTAAAAGCATTTAAAGTGTTCGCTATGGGAAATTTTGGGTATTGAAGTTTTTTGCGGCTTCACGGGCGAACGGAATTTTGAGGCTTGAAATGTTTGGTATCTATTTACCCGACGTGACCCCGTCTTTTATATTTTACCAAAAAATTGGGTAATATATTATGTTTCTGTGGACTAAATTCTAATTTAGTTTATTTTATCCTAAAAATATTGGTTTGATAAACATTTGCGTAAATACCGTGCAACATAAAACATTGCAACTAGCATTTTTTTATTCTACAGGGCCTCTGCTTTTAAAACATATATCATTGTTTGGGGGTTTGCAGCTGTTTTCTAGCTAAAAAATTATATTTTATAATGTGTGCGCAAATAGTAAGAAAATGCCCCAGACAACAAGTGGATAAAAAGTCCCCCGCCCCTCATACACACACACAAACGTGTGTCGGGTGTGCCTACGTGTGTGTAATACCTCTGCAACGCACGCCTAGGATCACAACTGCGGAGTAACGTAGTTAACGGTTTAGTCAGTGAGCGGTCTCTATCATACTCTTTCAGCAACTTAGAGATGTGTATGAGACCGGTAACATCATGTAACCGTGGTGGAATAATTGGTTAAGCAGGATCACTGTGACACCTTTGAAGTGTCTGACACAACTTTAGTAGGAGCCCCAAGAGGCCAGTTGAGGATCATTAAGGCAAGGGGGTGAGTATGGTACCTCACTATGATTGGAGTACGCAACTTCCTACAGTATGCCCAGACACAACACAATTGATATGGAGAGTCACAGGTAAGTAAATACAGTTCTGGTTTGTCACAGG